TATTAAATTTATTTATAGAACCACTATATTTATAATTAATATATACATGGAACCATTATATTTATAGAACTATCTAGTTTTGTGCAATATTTTAATTAAATTTCATTTATGAATTTTTTTTTTGAACAATGGGAATTTTCTTCGAGGGATGAGGAAGAGGGGACCTGAGTTTGAATCCAGGTTCAATTAGTCCTAAACACGTCCTGACTTGCAGGGAAGCCAGTTGGCCTCCAAGTGCTGGACATTTCATTTATGAATTTAATTAAATTTATCCATTAAATTTATATAATATTCATTCTTCCTTAACTTATATATAAGATTGCATTGTATGAAGAAAATACTATAACTAAATCTCAAGAGTGAATGAAAGAATAGAAAGAATAGAAAGAATACTTTTTTCTCCCTTCTTATCTCATTCTCATACCTTATTTTTACACACATTTTTACTTCATCTTACTCAAAAATTACTTATTTTATAACAGAAAATTATTTATTTTAAAAATAAATTCATTAATTCTGAATTTTAAAATTTATCAAATAAAAATTTAAAATTATCATTTATAATAATTTTTAAATAAATTTAAAAAAATTCAAATATATAATTTTCTCAAAGTTACTTAAATGTTACTTTAAAAATTAATTTTTACATTTCTCTCTACCATTTTTAGATATATAAATAAAAGTTTACTTCTAAAAAAATTATTTTTAAAATTTTACCAGTCACCTTCAATATCCATAAATGCCTCTTATTGGCTTCTTCATTGACTTGCCTGCACTTGAAAGTTGTCTCTACTCCTTAGCTGCCTCAATTATATATAAGAAAGAGTTAGGTTTGTTATCAGGTGTCCACCTGTTATAATTTCTTTTTCTATCAAGCACGCAGATATGCCATCTACTTCTTCAATCTTGATATCCTCTTATGTTCTCTGTTGACAGTTCACATGTGCATTTACATATATTCTACGTAAGTATAGCATGGACTAAACATATCTTGTGCTCAAAAGAGGTGGTCATCAGCCTAATCATTCTTGCTAAAGTTCGTCTGTGTTTAACAGGTAGTGGCATGAGCTCCTGAACATCATCCGACGAAGTTTGTAAGTATGGTTAATTATATAGTTTTGGTGCTATTGCTAGAGCGTCTTTTTAATTTATTTTTGAACTTCATATGGTACATGGAAAATCATACTTAGTGAAGTTCTGGTTTGAAAAGATAGGTGATGCCTTTTTGTCTGTCTGCGTGCGTGGGACACATGGTATAAAGGTGAGAGGCTTCTCTTCCTCTCGCACGGCTGATTTTTCTTTCCTATTGCGTTTATGTTTTATTGCTTATTATGTGATTTATGGTTTTTAGTTTTCATAAATTTTATGACTTTAAATAAAAAATTGTTTAACGTTTTATTTTTCAGTATGTTACTATGATTCTTAATAAATTTTTAATAAATTAATTTATTTAAAATTTTAAATATTTTTTATTATCAATTCTGACATTTTAATTTTTACTTATTATTCTCAATTCCTATGCTAGAAATAGATTTATTAATGGATACTGTTTTCTTTTTTGGGCCAAAGGATTGGATTGGTATTCATGGCTTTCTTGCCAAGCACTTCAGCGTATATACCACTCGATGTATCAACAATATTCTATTTTCTGTGCATACAGGAAGTGGTTTAATCGAGTTTTGAGAATGCTCTATATTTTTAGTTTGTTCTACTAGTTCTCTTTTTGAGTGAATTTTAATGTTATTGACGTGTGTGTTTAAATTCGAATGGTATTGTTTGTGTTGATGAATTCATTATAGATTATATCTTGTTTGTTTTTACCCTAAATATATTTGTTTTGGATGATATATGCTCAAGTGATGTGTAGTGATTTTAATACTAAAATTTGGAAGCTTAACTTACAAGTGAAATTTCTTGGCTTTCTCTTGTTTATCCTTTTCCAATCATGCATGATCGGTGGTTGATTTGCTTAAAGGGTATCTGTTTATTTATGAAGTTGTGTTTTTAATCTGAATTATTGTAGATTAAATAAAAAGAACTCAGAAGTTGTAGATGGTAGCCATATAAAAAGAAATAAAGAATAAATTTAAATTGCTTGAATTTGTTGAAAGGTCTAGAAGTGTATGTAGGTAAATCTTCATTTTCCATGAAATGAGTGCTTGGGGTAGAAGTTTTACATTTTGGGTAGACAAGAAGTGCTTGCCTACACAGGAGAATGGGCAAAAAAGGCCTTAACAGACAAGTCGAGTTAGGACATATATTCCCTTTCAGCTTGAAGTTCTTAAGAAAGAATGCGACACTCCCATAAAAAAGGCCAAGATGACTGGTATTTTTTAGTCCTCACAAAGGACCTATTTTGTTGGTACATCTCAATCTTTCTTGGAAAATTCAAGTCCATAAACTATTGTTAATGATAATTTTACTTCAACTCTTTTGTTCCTTGATTTAAGTCTTAGTTTTCTGCGCAACAAATATGCTAGTTATATAGAGGTATCTTTCTAAGAGTCTGCATATCTAATATCCATTGCCTAGCCACATAACCATACGAAGAAAGGAATCCTCTGCAAGGAGGAAAAAGGGGGGTCATTGTTGTGGTGGATCCCAATCTTGATTAGCCTTTCCAATCTACTTTACATGTAATGGTAATGGGATTATTGTCAGATAATTCTTTGTGTGAGAAAGAGTTTGATGGTAATTTTCTTTTGATATTAGTGGTACCTGCAAAGCTTTGATATCATTTGTGTCAATCATGAGAATTCTTTGATTTGATAATTCTAGAAGTTACGATAACTCGAAAGAGTAGGTTAAAACATGTTAAATGACTCAAACTATAACTTTAGTTAGTTATATATTCTTCTTTCTGTAAGAACAAGATAACAACTACTTCTGATATGATGGCATGACATCCTTCTTCTAGAAACTTACTAAGGAAGCATGAAGGCTAATCTTCTATAAATGTACGTAGATATAACAAATTGAATCTGCAAATTTATAGCTTTCGAATATGAAGCTTTTGCTTAAAAAAAAAGAAAAAAAAAGGGGAATCTGCCCCAGTGATTGAGGTGGTGAAGGGGTAGTTGTTGTTGGGCCTTTGAGATATTATTAGGGATGGGTAACATGGGTTGGCTTGTGAAAGGAAACATGGGCTCTCAGGTCTCTTGTATGGGCAACTATAAAAAATAACCAAATGGGCCGTTATCAAAAGTAAAGAATAAAAATAGCTAAGAGAACCCAAGAAGCATAACCTTTTTCCTTGATGTAAGAGGTGAAGAAAAGAATGTGACTTTGCTTCAATATAAAGCTAAAGGACAATTATGCTTTTCTTTTTTTGATAGGACTAAAGGTAGGGATGGCAATTTTGCTCCACAACTTGCGGAGTTTCGTGGAGATCCCCCCACAAAAATAGAGATTCTAAGAATATTCTTTCTGTGAGGTAAGGATGAAGGTATTTTTTTTCCTATAAAATTTCGTGGAAATTTCCTTCATCCCATGGAGAACCGTGAGAATTCATATAAAATAAAATATATATATAAATTTATGTTTATTTATATTTTTTTTAAATATATTAACAATTAGTTTTTCCTTACCTAACCTAATTAGCTAACTCAATACCAATACAACTTAAATTTCACAACCCATTCTTTTTTCAATTTTCCCAAACCCAATTGTCAAGTCCAGCCCATTCTTTTTGTCAATCTAGTCTTTCTAAACCTAATTGCCCAGTCCAATTTGCATTGGTAACCCTAGAAAGACTATCCAAAAATTTCAATTTCAGATTTGTGATTCCTCCTCTCCAGTCTCCTTTACAGCTCTGCATTGTAACTCTCTTTCTACTCCTCAATCTTCATCTGTGATTCCCTTCAAGCTCTCATTGTCACCACCCATTATGCAACCACTACAACGCTGATCTTTTCCCATCACTCACTCACACTCAATTCAATAACTCTTCTCCAATCTCTTAACCAATTGCTCGTAACTCATTTCTTTTATGTCCTTTTTCTTAATGAACTCATTGCTGAACATGTATGGTAGCAGTTTATGCATTTTTTTTTCCTATGAACTTTGTTGATGATAGTTGCAGTTTATGCCCCTTTTTTTTTTATGAACTTGTTGCTGGCTTGCTAGACCTGCTTGATATGTATATATTGGTTGTGCATATTTACTATTTGTTTGTCTTGTTTCAAATTTTTACTTTCTATGATTATTTGAGTTAGTTTTATTAGATGAATGTAAAAACCAGTGGACTCTAAGTAGACCTATGTTAAGCTTAATTTTGATTAACAATAGCAAAACAGGTAATAGTTTTATTTTGCCGGTACTCCGAAAATCCGCAGGGAGCTATCATTCCCCGTGGGTATGGGGACAGAGGTTATTTTTGAACCTCCGCCAAAAATCCCCGTAGAGATCTCTGCAGCCACCATTAGCAACGATGGGGATGTGGAGGGCATCCCTGCCCGTGGAGGGAGTTCCCGCCCTTATGGGGACCCGTTGCCATTCCTAACTAAAGGAAAATACTGTTTTATTTTAGTTTAATAAATTAAATTAAAGGTATGTTTGGTTTAAAGAATAAATTTTTTGATCAATTAAATTATAATATTAATTAAAATTATAATTTAATTTGTCAAAAATTTCATCATTTTCCTTTTTGTTTCTAGTTTTCCTTAAAACCAAACATGCTTTAAGCCTTTATGAAATGATACTTAAGGAATCAAGTATTTGACAAGTTACAAAAGAAAGGAAGCTGAACCTCCATGTTTTCTTAAGAACAAGGGCAGAGACATAAGACCACCAAAAAATAAAAAAGTTGACAAGAGAGCCTCATTGGCTGGCCCTTAAGACTACATGCAATACATTCCTTCTAAATCAGTTTGTTTGTCTGCAGCAACTTACTAAGGAAGCATGAAGGCCAATCTGGTTCAACTGGTTCCATTTGTAAGTATGTTTTGTTTTTACATATATGTTCAAGTGCATAGACGTGGTTCTAAATTAATATGGTTACCAGAAATGATAATTGATCACCTGCTCCTCCTGTAAAATCTTTTGTTATTTTGTTTTTGTGGCAAAAAAAAAAAAAAAAGGGTTTTATATATGCATGGTTAAGCATTTTGTACAGAGTAACGGAGGAGTAGTTCCTTGCGTGATTGTGCAGCCTGAGGTTCTTAAAGTAGATAATTATGAAAAGTGGCGCATTTTCATGCAACACTATTTAGTGGCTCAAGACCTTTGGGATGTGGTTTTATCAAGCGAGATGGCTGATGGAGAAGACCCAAGGGAGTGGATTAAAAAGAATGCCTTCGCTCTATATGCAATTAAGATTTCATGTGGAGCAGAAATGTTTGATCAGGTTAAAGAGATTAATTCAGCCAAAGATGCTTGGAATGCATTGGCTGACTTGCATAAACAACCAAATGAAGATGGGAACGAAGATACAGGTTTATTTTCCACTCTACGTATCCGTCTAAAACATGGAGTACACTCCTCTTTCCTGTTTCTTAATTTTGATATTGCCTGAGATCGAAAGTATTCATATCTTACAATCTTTGGCAGGCTTCGAGATTCTTGAGAGGAAACAAACCGTGACATTGCTCAAGGACATAGAAAAGGAGGATTCTGATGCTGTAAATGAACTCTTGGAAACACCTTCTTCGTATTCTGCAAGAGTATTAGAAGACGGTTCCACTCTTCTTCATGTTGCAATTGTTGCTGGCCAGGTAGAGTTAGCTAAGAGACTGATTTCGGTGACGTCAGAAGAAGGGTTGGAAATACCAAATAAGCGCGGTATGACAGCTCTCTCCTTGGCTGCTTGTAAGGGAAGCAGACAGATTGTAGAATGTTTGGTTGGAAAGAATGGAAGATTGCTTGAAATCCCAGATTGCGAGAAGAAGATCCCACTTGTATTGGCATGTGCCACACACCATCTGTGTTTGACCCGTTATCTTTATTCGGTGACACCTATTAAAATTCTTGATCCAGTAAATGGGGACCATGGATTCTTCCTCCTCAAAGAGTGTTTAAGGAACCATATGATCGGTAAGAGCTGCATGTAAATCTCCTTGCTCTGTTTTTATTTTACCTTAATTTAATTCTCAAACAAACTGTATTTGAATCAGAGATGGGACTGGATCTGCTGCGCAAATTTCCAGATTTGATATTTCACAAAAGCTCTTTGGAACCAACCCCTATTATTTCAGAGTTGGTCCAAATGCTATCATCATTGTTTGCTGGGTGGGAATGGCGATTTTGTGAGTACGCCTTTCTTCTCTCTTTACAATTCTTAATTGAATTTCTTTGTGGATATGTTTTAATTCTATTTTTTGATCTTATATATTTTAATTTTATTTTTCGCTATAAAAATTGATAACCACTCACTTCCAAACTTCTAATTCCATGTTTAAAGGTCTAATGTTCGAATCTCACAAAAATTAATTAAGGACCAATTTCTTTGCGGATAAGAATTGTAACACATTTATTAAAAATTTATTATTTTTTAATCTGAAATTAAAAACAGATAAATTTAATGATACAATCATGCACATAGCTAGAATATAAAAACTGATTGAATTGACTGTATATATATTATATTTTTAATGACTAAACCGAAAGTGTGTCAAAAAATATATTGAACTAAGGGTGTACCAATAATTTTCCATATATATATATATACACACACTCAGACTAAAGAAACTTATTCCATTATGATAAATTATGCTTCACAACATAACTGGCCAGACTGCTTTCATTTAGCTGCCAATTTTGTAGAGTTCGCTTTTTTTATATGTTTAGAAAATAATTAGAATACACTCAATTTAATATATATATTTTTATATTTTCGTTTCAGTTTAGTTATTAAAATATAATATAAATACAATTCATTTAGTTGGTTTCTGCATCATATATGTTTGATTGTATCTTTAAGTTTATTTACTTTTAATTTCAAATTAAAAAATAATTATTTTTTCAATAAATGTGTTAAATCAAACTTTATTCCAATTACTACCCATATATATATACACATATGAAGAATGATTCACTTATACACAAATTTTACATATCACATTTATATAAAATCTTAATAATTTATCATTTTACTTTTAATAATTAAGATTTATCATGAGTTTTAGATAAAAAAGATAATTATTATTAATAAATATCATAAAAAGAATAAATCGTAATCATTGAAAATAAAAAAATGAATGATTGATCATAGTAGAGATCCATTTACGTATAAGTTTTATATATCACACTTACACAAATTTTCCATCATTTATTTTTTTATTTTTAATAGTTTAGATTTATTCACATTTATTAAAATTAATTATTTTTGTCACTTAAAAAGTCGTGATAAATTTTAACCATTAAAAATAAAAAGATAAATAATTAATATTTTATATAAGTGTGGTACAAAATACTTGTGTGTAAATTAATCCCACTTCTATATATATATATATATATATACACACACATATGCTGCATCAAATATGAAGCCAGGTATATTATTCATGCCAGAAGTTAAGCGGTGGCTGTAGTGCTGTCACCGCTGTGAAATTAATTAACTCAATAGTTGAATAAAATTTGTACTGTAGGTTATCCTTCAGTCCTTTGTGGATTGGTTTAATGCTAGCTTCTACACAGTTCCTAGGAATAACACTAACTTTTCCATTCAATCGAACAGGTTTCTTAATCAGTTTGACTCTGTTACTTATAAATTTCCTTGTACACGATTTTTGCTCTTAACTAGGTTGGTTGCGGGCATCTAAGCTAGAGTACGACCGCGCCCATGCCCGTGAGATGGTACATTTCATATGTTACAAACTGTCAACTTTAGAAAGAGACCAACTTATAGGAAGCGGAGCAGTGGAAGCTACCTTCAAGGCTATCAAGCTTGGCTACCTTGACTTTGTAAAACAAATTACAGAAGCTAATCCTGACATAGTTTGGAGCCATGATCCCGAACACTCAAGAGACATGCTAATGTATGCTGTAGCACATCGTCAAAAGGAAATTGCCGAGTTTCTTTATGGACTCAATGCGTGGAGGAGCATGACGAGGTTTGCCACAGATGACGACCAAAACAATATGTTACATCTGGCCGCAAAGTTATCTCCCAGCTCTCCCTGTATTCATCATTTCCCTGATCCGGTTCTCCATATGCAAAGCGAAGCATGGTGGTTTATGGTAATCCTCGAAAGAAACTTCTATTATCCCAATATATTAGTACTTATTTGCAAGACATCTTTTTAAGAGTAAAATCACTTTAAAATTATCTTATTTTAATAAAATATTATAAAAAAATATAAAAACATAATCTCGCTCATATTTTAAAAATAAATTGTTTGTCTTTTTTAATGAAATGTTATTAAATCGATATAATTTTTAGGTAATTTTTTTCTTAATTTAATTTTTAGAAATAAGCACTTATATATCTTTATATGGTTAAGGATTCAAATATGATTGTCTTTTTCAATGATCAATTAATTTCTCACTTAACAAATTAATTATTTCAGGCGATTGCAGACATTGTTCCAGCATTTTATGAAGAACAGAGAAATAAAGATGGCGAAACTCCTTCAGAAATGTTTAGGAGAGAACACCAGAATTTACTTAAAGAAGGTCAAAGGTGGGTAAAAGAGACAGCAAATTTTGCCGCAATTATAGGCACTCTCATCGTTAGCATTATGTTTGCAGCAGGTATTACTGTTCCTGGTGGTAATAATGATACGGATGGCCTCCCCAATTTCTCTAAAAGAGCATATTTTAGGCTATTCATAGCATGGGATCTACTTTCTCTCTATTGCGCATCCCTTTCAGTCATGTTGTTTTTGGATATCCACAAATCCAGTCTTACCGAAGAAAATTTCCTAAATGGACGCTTGGTTCTCAAGTTGGCCTGGGCCTATTATCTCCTCTCTTGGTCCATTGGACTGATGCTAATGTGCTTTCTTTCTTCAATTAAACTTGTGGATGGCCATTTTGCTTTGCCGATCTATGTTATTGTTCTCATCCTTAGTGTCTATCTATTTGCCTTCATTTTTCTAAAACACTATGCTATTGTGGGTTCAACCCCTTCTTTTTTCGGACGACAGTCGTTGTTAGATTCATACTTTAAATCGCTCACCATCCTGCGTCAATGTATATGAGATTAAATATCATCACTTCTTTTATTGTACTAAAACCTAAATTCCGCGCGTTGCGTGGACTCATGTGCTTCTTTTCCCTTCTTTTTTTTTTTTTTCCAGCTTTTTTTCTTTTTTCCTGGATTTGGATGTGCTCTGTGTTTATTGTAATATTATTAATGTTAGAGTTTGTTTTGACATTGTATTTTAATTTAAATTCACAGCTACGGTAT